AAACTGTCGTTGCCGTACTTTGGAGGCGACTGTAACGTGGGTGAGTTTTAAAGATTCTTTCTAATCGGCTGTACATGAAAACTCAAATCTACAAAATGTACAGAAATTCCAGTATCTCCGTGCACAATTAACAGATGAGGCAGCCCACACAATTGAAGGGTTAACACTGACCAATACAAACTACACCCAAGCTATGGACTTACTAGAGCACCGATATGGACAGCCTCACAAAATCATAAGCGCCTTCATGAGATCGCTTTGGGATTTGCCCGAACCCTCAGAAGATTACCATAGTCTACGCAACTTCTACGACAAATTAGAAAGTCACATCCGTGGACTCAAGTCACTCGGAAAAAAAGACGACTCGTATGGTGATCTTTTAGTGCCAATCGTTATGGATAAATTGCCTGGCCAAATTCGCAAACAAATCGCGCGCGACCACGGTAAAAATGAGTGGACTTTGCCAGATATACGCAAGGCAATACAGAAAGAAATAGAGGCTATACACGCTGGAGACGCCACTGATGTACAATCCAATTCCAACCCCGCCGTCACCGCAGCATTCCACACTAGAAGTGAAACCACGCGAAAACAGTTTATCCGTAAACCAAGGATTTGTACTTTCTGTAAAGGATCACATCCGTCTAACGAATGTAAAGCTGTTACAGACGTCGATAAACGCCGCGAGATCGTACAACACCACGGACTTTGTTACAATTGCTTTGGAAATCACTGAGTCAATGTTTGCAAATCCAAATACAGCTGTAATTGTAAACAGAGACATCACACCTCGTTATGTAACAAATCAATATCAAACCATGGCAACACTAAAGGTTCCAATGCGTCCGAAACTCACGTGACCTGAATGACTTTTGAACCATGAACAATGAACCTTTGTATGTTTGACTTTAACTTCTAACTTATATTCAATATCTAGGACTGATCGTATTTTCATAGTTTTAATTTTCCTTGTGTAAGTTAGTATTTCATGTGCAAGTTAATTTCTCGTAACTTTCTTCCGTATTATTCAGTTTTTATGTCTTCGATTCGTTTCAGTATTTTTTTCATTTTTACATTTGTATATTATTACATTCGTTGTTGCCTTTACTTTCGCGCCCGGGAGAAATATCGGAAACATAAATCCTAAAAATTATGTGCTAGAGCTAGACTTCACATACGGATTCTGATAGTGATCTCGTTAATTCGGACCAATCATGTCCAAGGCTACTGATAGTTACTGACCAATCCCACATGGGATTAATTTCCGCGCCTTTTACCGAAGGTCAAATATGAGTCTATTTAAAGACAAAGCAAATGTATGTTTTTCAGTAGTCTTTGTTCCCGTCATCAATAAACGTTGCTGCTCTGTACTACGTAATTGGTTGTGTCTTTGCATAGTCGTCTGTTGCCGAACCGTCCCCTAAAATACAGTTTTTCTTGTAGGCTGCAATGGACGTTTTAGCAGGTGCCAATATGCTAGTTATTCATTTAGACACATGCTGATTACATTAAGTTATAGATGCAGGTTCGTGGACACTTGGGAGTGAATTTTCTTTTTTTTGCTTTTTATTATCCAAACAGTCTTGGCTATAGACTGTTAAAGTTTCACAGCATTATGAATAGTGGAACATACTCAAAAGACGATTTTAAAATATAGAAAACTGGTACAAACATTCTCTCTTTGGAATGCTTAGCAAGATTTAGCAAGGCTGTACTTAAATAATCAAAAAGAAACATGTGAAAAAAAAGTAATGAGGGGATCTCCATATTATGCACTATATTTAACTTTTTACAAACCGATAATAGGTTTAAATTTGGAACTGTTACAGCCATTTAAATTATGAGCATTAGCAAACTTCTTACTGAATGAATGGTTATGCAAATTAGCCATTATCTCCACTTGTGTTTTTCAGTTTACCATGGAAGTTCAAATCTAAATAGCTCGCACAATTCTTGTTTATTTTGAGTGAAACTTTCACACAACGTTTATCAGTTGTGTATTAACAAAGGGGCGTCCAGGCGTATATATAGTATGTTTTGTTTTCATATTACAAATTGTCAAGCAGGATGTGTGCCGTATAGTCAATCCCGGTCAGTATTTCACAATTCGAATGTTATTTTCCGAGAATGCAAAGCTTTAAAAATAAGCCCAGACGTCTTTTTGTTCGTAGAGACGTTGTTAAATTAGTGTGAAAATGTCAAGACAAACTGACAAAAACTTCGGGAGCTAATTAATTTTCAATCTCTCCGACCAACCAGAAAACAGGAACGGAGATAATGGCCGTTTTATGAAAGTGACGTTAATCGTCTACAAAAATGGCTATTGCATCACGACGACATGCCAAAATCCATCATACACCGACGCTTGCTGATGTTCAATCGTCAGATAAAAAAATAAAATATTTACAATACTAGAGAAACGGACGTAAAATCGTCCGCGGAGTCGAAACCTTGCGTGAAAACTGTCATGGCGTCGTGTTATCTTTTCCACTTAGGGAGGGGCACAATGGATTACGTAAAGCCGATGAGATATTCATACCGTTATACAAACATAGCGATCCCCAGTGTATGGGTTGAGTCTAAATTTACCTTTCCTCAAACCTATAAAAAATACTCTGTATGACTTTGGTATGACGCAGTTTTCACGATCTCCGGTGAAATGGACCTTGCGAAGTTAGACGGCCTGGTTGAATGGGCCGTAATGTTTTGCTACACAACGGCTATTCACAGTGTTTGTACTCAATCGCAAAACAAAAAGTCGAAATGGAAGACAACTATTGTAAATCGAAACAGGTTTCATTCAACTACGAGCAGACGCGATGGGTCGATAAAAAATAAAACGAACCCTGACCTCTGGAAATACTTCATTCATAGAGTGCCATAGTACCAGAGGTCGCCGAGCACGCCGTACAACGTACTTTGCGACATTGCTACAGATGCATGCTAGTTGACAAGGGGTTTCCGATTAAGGTAACCAAGATGGCATCGCAGAGTGCGTGATTTTTCCGCGGTGTTTAAAAACAGCATCTCGTTGCCGATGTTTCTGTAATTTTTCGGGGTATTTTTTATTTTTAATTAACCGAGCATTTCACGTTTGTGTATTTTG